ATTTCAGAGCTCAAATGCAAACATTTAGATTAACTTTGTGTCTACTGCAGCCAGATTTTTTTCCATTTCCAGCGATATTTAGATGAAGCAGAGAAAGATAAAGAAAGATACATGATGGAATTAGAAGCATACCAAAAAACAGATGCTTATAAGAACTTTTTGAAGAAGCAAGCGGAACGGAAAAGAAAAAGTAAGTGTATTGTTTCTTTGATGTCGTGGCACGTTTTTCTCGTTTCAGTTCACGCTCTTTTCAGTGCTCCGTTGCTCTGATCTCGATTTCCTCAGACAACGTTAGGCTGAATACAGAGCATCCTACTCAACTGAATACGATATCAATAACATTCTGTCGCATCCAGTTAGTATGGGCAACAGCTCGACATTTCATTACGTATTGGTTTTCTTACAGATCTGGAGAACTCTGACAGTCTAGATGGCTTATCAAATGGAATTGAAGTAAGTCGAAGACATGTTTCTCGTTTCTAGTGGCCTATGTTCGGGAAAAAAATTAATTACTACAGCAACAAAAAAAATATTTTCTTTCTCTGTGTGACTTTTTCCGTTGCCTTTTTTAATGTGTTCCTATCATGTTGGGCGTTAGGACTTCGTAAAAACAGCAAGTGAATCAGAAAAATAAATTGTCATTTCATCAATTTTTTTTCCTTGGAAAATTTATCGAAAAGAGCCGCAATTTCATTTACTAGACTAAGTTTTCCTGGCTCACGTCTTCTGTATCGAACTAGAACAATCAAGGTTACACGGCGACTTCAAATACTCTCATTTCACGTCTGTACGGCAGTTTCGTAACACAGTATTACGAAATACAGAGAATGGATTGCCTGTTTATTTACTATTTATTCTTCGTTATAGCTTTGTGCAGAAGACGATCTTTACTGCAAACCCTGCAATCAGTACTTTAACAACCTTCATAACAAGAGAGAACACATTCTTGGTCGTAAGCACAAACTGACAGTGTCTGGAAAGTTAAACGAAAGTGAAGAAGAGGAAGAATTACCTGGATTTAACGCTCCCGTGTTCACGGAAGAGTTCCTTAAACACAATGAAAGTATGTACACCATATGGTAGAGCTAAAGCCAAGTGGGTCACCAAAAGCGGATCCAGACTGAGGATCCGGGGTGTCCAAACTCCCCCCTCCCCTCCCCCATTTGACTTGTGAGGGTTTTCACTGCTTGTCTGACATCAAGATTTGCAATGACAGGATCGCATGTTAACACTCAGCGGGCAGATTTGTATTTGTGTAACCACAGATTAAGGAAGTGGGGGGGGGGAAGCGTGGGTTCATGGAGAAGTAATTTTGAACCTCCCCCCCTCCCTCCCCCCCATGCCCCATCAAAAATTATTGAATCCTTTCCAGTATCACCGGATCTTTCACGGTTTTGGAGTATAAGGCGACCATAAGTATTACTACTTCCCTTAAGAGGGAATGGTAATCCATCACGAGCTCTCTCCTTGTATTTCTTCAAATGTCGCTTATGGTTCATTGGTATCCATTTATGCCCACTTTGAGAACACAACGCAATGACTCATCACAATGACCTGAACACTGTGCGAACCTGAACCCAAACCTCACAATCCTGACGTTCCTACGTTAACCCTTTAACCCCAAGAGTGACCAGCGTCTAATTTCTCCTTACATTATCACCCCTGAATTAAACATTAGGTCATTAAGATTCGAGGAAATGATCACCAACTTATTGCTTCAGGAAATGTATAGAGAACAGTATGGAGAATCTGCATACTGATGTTAGAGTGTAAAGGTTTAACCATGAGACCATTGCTTCCAGATACGTATTAGCCCTTTAACTCCCAGAAGCGATTAACATGTAACTTCTCCCAACATTGTGCAACATTATCCAGCAAACAGGTGATGAAAATACTCAATCTTATAAGGTAGAAACTGTTATCTTGATCTAACACTAAATTCTTGTGACTAATTTACAAGGAAATGTGTAGTAGCTACAGGGGAGAATTAACAATCAGATGTTAGGAGTTAAAGGGTTGAGCCATTCTTGCATCAATATCAGTATCTGGGCAACTGCCCACCTACCCCTCCCCTAACCTAACATTAACCCTAACTTGTTATCAATAGACTGTTGTTGGGTTAGGGGAGGGGTAGGTGGGCAGTTGCCCAGATACTGATATTGATCCCCATTCTTCATGGTACAGTAAATGTAATCTTCATCATTCGAATGCTTTGTGAACTCTCCTCAATCTTATTCTTTTAGTGCGTGAAGACGAACTGAGACAGCTTCGCAAAGCGGCCACCGAATTTGAAGAACAGAATTCACTCACCTCCAAACACGTAGAGAGCTTAAAACAAGCGATAGAAAAAATAGAAATGGAGACAAATCAACAACGAAATGCCAACATGGTGTTACTCAATCATCTGAGCAATCTTCGTACAGCCCTTGTGCAAGCGTTTGCGAACTTGGTACTTCCTGGCACCAACGAGGTTCCTACATTAGATACTATTGACTCATATATGACCAGATTGTATTCAGTTATACTGGACTCGCCGCAAGAAAATGAGGGACTCATAAGAAATGTGCGAGAAATCGTGTCACGCCTCGGATTTCCAAAGTAAGTGCGAGAGACCATAGAGCTCCTAAGAATCGTGGTACCAAAACTATTGTAGTCCCAACACCTAATGAGAACGTAAGGTCCAAATAACCATTAACAACGTGGATTACGTATGCACCTTAGTTCAAAGCGCGGGAAAATGCGATTCGTTTGCTAAAAAAGTACTTTACCTATCTTGCTCAATTTCTATCATTTCGTAGTAGTTCCCGCCTTTCATAGTCACTTCTGCCTACCAGAATACGCAAACAGATTCCGATTATGCTGGACTTGAAAACGTCTCTCTTTCGTTGTTAATGAATTTACAGGAAAAAAAAACTCTCTTGTGAGCTATGTTATGAAGGGCTGTACAGCCTACCACGATTTAAGCTTTTTCTTCACATTGTTTTTTGGTTTATGTTTTTCAGCGATGCAGAGAAAAGTCTGAATTTGACAGAATAGAATCCATTTCCATTCTCGCCTGCATCCAACTGGGGCCATTTACCGCCTAACGGCTCTCGCGCACACACACCTTAATGGCGAGTAGCAATCGTTTTAGACGTTCATTGATCCTGGCGTGGCAACTGCAAACGGGGCAAGATTGTCCCGCGAGTTATTTACTCAGACAGTTAAAAGCGCCTGCACAATCAATTCGTTTGGCCTCAACTACATGTACGTGTAATAGGCAAATCATCGTCTCAGTTTATTTCTTCTTCCATCGCCTCAAAGGCGCTTTGTGAGGGCAATATTTGCCGAACAGTGTAACTGCGAATGTACAGTGCAAGAGGGAAATAATATTCAGAAGATGAATTAAACGAGACCTTTAGCTCCACGGACGAGTGTGACTACGACCCTGAGATTAATACTCGAGCTAAAAGCGAAATATTAGGGGAATTTACTCTTCTATTCGTTATGAGCCAATGAGAATTAAAGTAAAAGGAAGCAGGCTGCTCAAAGCGCGGGAAAACGCGAGTTACAAAATCGCGATTGATTTGGTTTTGATTTTAGATCTGATTGGTTCAGATTGTGGCGCAAAGTTTCTGGATCAATCACAGAGCGTACACAAGTAAAACTAATGTAATCCTTGATTACTTCGACACTAAATTGAATATTTCTGGTTCCTGTATTGGTTATCTTGTTTTTAAGGCTACGCAATTTTCGCAAAAACTCTCCTTTTACTGTTGACGGCCACTGTTGTGTCCCGCCGTCTTGAACTCGTAGTCGTAGTCATACATTGATTTAATGATCTCTAAATAAATTTCTCTGGGACAGAGAAAAAGAAATATTCCACACTATTGACACTTTAATGTGACCTCACTCTAGCCGCTCATACGGAATGAAATTTCTTTCTAAGAAATGCACATCGTTTTCCTTTTGGGATTGATTCTTTCTTGAGTTATCCATATTGGATGTTTGTACGCTGAAGAGTTCATGTGTCCGTAGAACGAAGTTATGAAATCATTGTAACGATTCTGGATTTGTTTTGATTGGTATAAAAAAGCAAGATTTGAAATAGTTTTCAAGTTTGGTTGTTTTACTTTCGAAAGGTAATATAGTGTTAGGGTTAATCCCGCGCTCTCAGTTCCAAGCCTTCCGAGAGGTCGGTCCCCTTGTGGCATGAAATGTTCGTGAAACTCCTTCGAGATTTTGAGGTGTGTTAATCCCGCAACACTTAAGGTGGCTCAATGGTCTGAAAATGGCTTTTATCTCGAAACTTTTGTATACATTTCAGAAGTTAGATATGTTTTTGTGTCAAATTTTTTATTTTACGACCACATGGTGCTCTGAATCATTTAGATTCCAAATTGGAAGCTGCGAGCACGAGTCAAAGACAGCTCAAATCCAACGACGAGGTATCGAGCCCGTCGCGCTTTACATACCGTCAATCCCCTCAGGAAATTAGCAGACCTGGACACCTCTCGGTCCGTTCGCCTATGACATGGAATCAGAATAAAAACAAGTAAGTATTTTATCTCAAGTATGTAGTCATTGGGCCTTATGACTGAGGCGTGTAAACTGACGTCACCATCCCGAGGTAATGAAATGTCAAGTCGTCAAGTGAAGGAACATTTGACGGACAAATTTGTTGGGACACTAAGTGCCCCTCCCCCCGCTCTGCCCCTCTCCATGTTGGTCTGCAGGATGGCACAGACACGTTGGCAATTGACAACACTGGAAGGGAGAGTGAGGCGAAAGAACGTAGACTTAGAGAAGTATTCCAATTTTGTTACGTTCGATAGTGTACGTGCACTTGAAGGACAAAGGAAACCCAGCTTTGAACAGTTGTGAGACCTACAATTAATAACATCAAAATTCTAGGTAAAGGTAGCACATCGAGATACTGAAAAGAACAGTCAATCTAGGAAAACGAGAGGTTGACGTGCCAATCACGCATACGAGTTAGAGAGAGAGCAAGACTGAATAAATTTTTCGTTGGAAGTGATGTCTTTATTGATCCTCTACATTTATTAGCTCATATAGAGTATACATACTTGCTGGGTTACACCTGATCAGTATATGTCTTGTCTATACTAGAAAGATTGGCAATTCACCTTACTGATAGAGATCATAATTACAAGTTTGGTGCCAGACAACCCAAATTATTTGTCATTAACTACAATTTAGGTGATTCAATTCACATCTGGAATTTTAAATATATTTTACTTAACTTAACTGTCATGTAAATAGTCTTAACAAAATAAACTCTGCATACAAAATGTGAGTATAATATTGATGATATTGTTCGGTCAGACTATCAAGATGATGTTAATTTCACTTTCTATATGAAGTGTCATCTAAATGTGCTAAATTTTAATTGTACACTAACTTTTTTTATTTATTTATTTTTTTTTTTTACAACATTTTGTAATAAAATTTTTGGAACACAGAATTTAATTTAGTAACGACACATTACTTGCAATAAAACTTTTAATAAACAACAATGAGATATTCGTATAATAGTAAGTATTGAACTCAGTTAACCATACCAAAAAGAAATCGAACGACACGTAAATAGATATGAAGATCAGAGAAGCAGTTAAAATTACATATATCTATTAATTTACCCATATTTTTATTTAATAACTTATTAACCAACTTCTCATTAGATAACTTCGCAGCCAATCTCATACAACACTTGTAATAATTATCGCAATTTGGTTACTCGAATTTCCCTTTTGCCTGGTTTTGCTCTGACTTCTCATTTGCTGCTTAAGATTACTTTGGTTTTGTATTGTGACACTCAATCGAAAGCGCTTTGTATTCATTATAAATAACATATATCATATACACAAAAGGATCACTTTTAACTTACTTATAGTTTTAAGGTTCATTTCTTTACACATTTTTTAAACCGATTTGTTTTATTTTCTTTTTGTTTTTTTCAATTGTGAAATGATTCATTCTTGAATCTATTCTTGAACGTTTACCGCGTAGAATCACATCACATCATATATGGTCACAGCAAAAAGGGAAACGATGAATCTAATCATTTCCCGATTTTCATCTAATAGGAAGGAAGCGTTGGTAGCACCTTATGTTTTGCTTGGGAAAAAAAACAATAACGTTCCCTTACAGTTAAGCCGTAAAGTTGAATATACGAGCCATTCTCCGCACAGCTTAGAGTTTATTACGTTAATATGAAGTTTCTCGTTTAAAACACTTGAATGCGGTTATTGCTAAGATCTGACACAACAATGTATCCGCTATTTGGCATTATCGCAACGCTCTCTGGAAAAGACAACTGTCCGTCTCCGCTACCCTCGGAGCCAGCCTCCTTTACAAACTTACCGTTAGCAGCCAATATCTGCAAACGATGATTTCCCATGTCAGCTATCACGAGATTACCGGCGATATCGATGGCTAACCCACGGGGATGTGAAAACTGCCCCTCTCCAGTTCCTTGGGATCCAATTTGGCGGAGAACCTTCCCATTTTTGTCGAACTCTTGGATGCGATGATTTTTGGAGTCAGAAACGAATATATGGTCATCTTCCGGATTGACAAGGAGGTAACACGGAGAGTTAAACTGCCCGGCACGATCGCCAAAACAGCCAATTTTTGTTAAGAATTTCCCGTCGGAAGAGAAAACTTGCACCCGGTGATTCTCCATGTCAGCAACTAGGATATCATTCTTTCGGGAGGTCGCAACCCCCCAGGGGGATTTAAAGTAACCGTTTCCCGTACCCTCACGGCCAAATTTTCCGATAAATGCGCCATTCCGACTAAGGACCTGGATTCTATTGTTGCCATTATCACAGACAATGATTCTTCCCTTACTATCCAGAGCGACGTCCGTCGGGCAGTTAAACTCTCCTTTGCGTTCCCCATGAGAACCAAACTGTGAAACGAATTCTCCCCGTGGACCGAATATTTGTATCCGGTGATTATAGCTATCGGCTACATAGATGTAGCTCTCGTTGTCAACCGCCACGCCGAAAGGGGATTTAAACTCGCGCTTTTTGCTGCCATACTGTCCAAATCGATGAAGTGTCGGGCCAACGTCGGCATATTCTCGGCGGTTGACAACAAGCACAGTGAAGGGGCTTCCCATGATCGGCTTGTCCTGAATAGCGACAGAGACTTCATGTTTACCATTCACTTCTGGCATGTAAGTCACAGTGTAGGTGCCATCTCCTGTAACAGAAACGATTAATTACTCGATTAGTCTAACAAGGAAGTGGTTGTGAAATTACACTTCCGTATAGAGTTTACAAGTGAAAAAGCTTTGAGGTAAACCGTGTCTTTCGGCTGAATGTTGTTGGTTAAGATCA